GGGGGGGGGGGTGCCAGAAGCCCTTTTAATTTGGGCACTCAGCCTCTAAAAGCTTCACCAGCACTGCTATATTCGAAGTGGAGACAGGTGTAAAAATAAAAATGTACATATTTGTAGAACTTGGAGACATTACTACTAATGCATATTTCACATTTAATTGCGAGATTAGATGGAGAGCAGGAACCCAACCTTCACAGTCACATTTAGACACCACTATCACAGAACATGTAGAATGGCAGGGACATCTAGGCACTGCTGCCAAAGAGACATGCCAATGCAGGCATTTAAGTCTCTTGTGAAAATCAGTCAAAAAATCCACACATACCATCTTAATTGGCATGTGAAGTGGGCACCACAGAACTTTTAATACTTGCCAGCATTATTATTCAATTGCAAATTTGTGATGTGTAATTTCTGCTTCTGCAAAAGTGGACATGATTTTTTTTCTTTAAAAAAAGTAATTGCCCTTCACTGCTAGAGGAATTATGAACTTTGGACTTTTGATTCATAACAAGAAAAATAATGAGCCACAGTGGCTTTAGCTCACTCAAGTGCCTTTCCACTGAATGCACTGATTGGGGGACTGAAATTACACGATAACATCTAAGTTTCAGCTAAAGGTGTTTGATTTGCAATGCCAGGATGCCCTATTTGAAGTTGCAGATGTGTGACACCATAATTATAGACTTTGTAGTAAAATGTGATATCATTCTTCACTCAGACGAAATAACCTTTAAAGAATAAACCCTAATTTGAACAGGAGATTGATGTAAGACAAGTAGTGCTAATGCAAATAATAAAGATTTTTAAAACATAAAATAGTAGCTCCTGATAAAAGATTTTAAGTGGGGTTAATTATTAAACATGCTATTCATGGTTGTGAACAAAAAAAAGGAAAGCCAAAAAAGAAGAAGAATCAGCATGTAACTCTTTGTGACACCAAAACCTAGCATTCAGTGAAAAAATTAAAATGATTGCTGAAAAACAATACTCAGAAAATAGTTGAGTAGAAATTGATACAGGTAACCTTAGAGCAGCCTCTCCCTAAACTGCTACTCTCTAGGGGTAGTTGATTACAACGCTCATCATCCACGTCCAGTTCTAGCACTTGGAAATTATGCTTTTCTAAAATAATGTTCTCAGCTTTTCCTTTACTGTTTTAGGACAGTATAACATACATATATTAACCTCTGCTTTGCAAAATCAGAGTATTCTGGATGCAAACTCGTTCTATGGGCACCAAGGTGCTGCTTAAGATAGGCAGTCTGCCCCTGTGACAGTAAGCTTCAGAGTTGTCGTTTATGTATTTTCCCCAAAACAGTTTTCCTGCCGTTCTTGTTCTAAAAGATGGTGGGCAACCTTTTTGAACCACAGCCGACAGAACCAACAGCTACTGTTTTAACTCAGCAAAGAAAAAAGATGCAGCTGCTAAAATAGGAGCAGGAAATTCATTGCTTTGAGTCTTTTTTCCCTTTCATGTTCATTCGTTTCTTTGACTTGTGTAATCATCAGCTGCCTCAGATTTATTCTATTTTGCATGATCTAAAGCAAACGTACCGTTCCTTCTTTATGATTTAATATAATAATATCAAAAAAATCAACATGATTCTCTTGAATCTTCTCTGACATATACCGTATTGTAATATTCTGTGATAAAATGAATGCAAAAAAAGTTTAATCAAAAGATTTTAAAGTAATATCTTATGTTGTCCCATTTGATTAAATCCATAGATTTCATTCCTTTGGAAAACTATAGTGATATTAGTTTACTTAGTGAAATGGTTAATTTCAATGTATTATTATCTTTTCACTGTGTGCCAAATAAATTTTCACTCATACCTAATAATTAAAGTATGATTACAGAGTGAAAAGCGAAATGTCATTTTTATTATACAACAGCTTTTCTTCACTAGCATCATTAATATCTTGTGGTTG